GACCTCTAGTACTGTCCTCACAAACCACCACGAGCCTTTAATCCGTTTATATTAAATCTCAAGTGTTACAATCACCCCCACTTAGGATCGCAACGTCCTCGTTGCGCCCTTAAACCAATCTCAATCAAACCCAGAATCTTCCCCCGCTAAGTGCCCGCCCGATATCCAACGGGTCAGCACACGGTCGTAGGGTTGCTCTGATACCATCTGTAACACCCCGGCCCCGTGGGACACGAGGTAGTTAATTCAGACCTCTAGTATTGTCCTCACAAACCACCACGAGCCTTTACCGCGCACTTTGTCCTCACTCATGCGCGCCCTGAGAAACTTCTCAGGGGGTCACCCATCCCAAGACTACTCCCGTGCAAGCACGCTTAACTTTGGAGTTCTTGGGTGATGAGCTCCTTTAATCCGTTTATATTAAATCTCAAGTGTTACAATCACCCCCACTAAGGATTGCAACGTCCTCGTTGCGCCTTTAAACCAATCTCAATCAAACCCAGAATCTTCCCCCGCTAAGTGCCCGCCCGATATCCAACGGGTCAGCACACGGTCGTAGGGTTGCTCTGATACCATCTGTAACACCCCGGCCCCGTGGGACACGAGGTAGTTAATTCAGACCTCTAGTACTGTCCTCACAAACCACCACGAGCCTTTACCGCGCATTTTGTCCTCACTCATGCGCGCCCTGAGAAACTTCCCAGGGGGTCACCCATCCCAAGACTACTCCCGTGCAAGCACGCTTAACTTTGGAGTTCTTGGGTGATGAGCTCCCTTAATCCGTTTATATTAAGAGATAATTACCCTAGGTATGACTAAAACTCAATAAGTTTCTCAATCTATAACCTAACTAGTTTTCTTCCCAAAATAATTATAAAATTCATAATATTTTAATTAAATTCGTAATTAATAAATAATAAATAATTTTGAGGGACAAATATACCCTTTAGCTTATACCTATAAAACCCTAACCTTCTACTCTTTTTATACAACCCTAGCTACAATCTCCAACACCCACCCGCGCAGCCTCCAACCGCCACCCGCTGTCCAACCGCCGCCGCTGCCTTCCACATATTTGGTTGCCAAGGTGCCGTCCAGCCGCACCGCCACACCGCCGCTCATACTCCTTCACAAGATGCGTCCATCGATTGGGCACTTGGGCGATCTGAAGTGGCGGCTCATCAATGGAGGGGCAGGGAACATCATCAGAGAACAAGAGCAAGAACTTAGGTCTTGGGAATCTGATTTTGGTGTGTACCTGGGCGTTAAGGGGGGTGATATGACAATTCTTGCGGATCTGATTTTGGAAAGTCACGACTCATGACCGGTGGCACAAGATAGGTAGGTTGACAGGGATTTGAAAAAAACAAAACCAATTCTTTTGTTATCAATTTCTACCGTCTTCTCAAGTTTTCCATTTTTTGAGCATTAAATATGGGCATTGAACACCATCACTGAACATTTCAATAAAATGCTGAGTATGGACAGTGAAAATGTATGGTAATAAGCATATTGTGCATGACAGTGAATGAATGCATTGAGAAATTTTGTTGTGCATTGATTATGACCGGTATTGCAGTAACACAGAGTAGTGAATTCATCATGAAATGCAATATACTTAATTAGACGTCAAATAATAAAATTATTAAATCTAAAAAAAACAAAAAAAAAAATTCATCAAGTGAATGAGAAGAGAATTAATTTTGGCGAAAGTGCAGTGATTATAACCGGATGTGCAGTGAAGACGTGCATTAATTTTGTGCATTAACGACAATATTAAGTGCATTAATTTTAAGTGAACTAAATTAGTGCAAAATGCACATATTTTAAATAAGGGTATTTTGTCATTTAACATTTAAATATAAACGAATTTTCTATTTGTTTTTGGATTTTTGGTCATACAAAGGTATAAAAACTAGTTAGGTCATAGATTGAGAAACTCATTGAGTTTTAGTCATATCCCGGTAAATTTCCCTTATATTAAATCTCAAGTGTTACAATCACCCCCACTCAGGATCGCAACGTCCTCGTTGCGCCCTTAAACCAATCTCAATCAAACCCAGAATCTTCCCCCGCTAAGTGCCCGCCCGATATCCAACGGGTCAGCACACGGTCGTAGGGTTGCTCTGATACCATCTGTAACACCCCGGCCTCGTGGGACACGAGGTAGTTACTTCAGACCTCTAGTACTGTCCTCACAAACCACCACGAGCCTTTACCGCGCACTTTGTCCTCACTCATGCGCGCCCTGAGAAACTTCCCATGGGGTCACCCATCCCAAGACTACTCCCGTGCAAGCACACTTAACTTTGGAGTTCTTAGGTGATGAGCTCCCTTAAAAGGAGATGCACCTCTGTTGGTTTGAGTAGTACTATTAATCCTTTTATATTAAATCTCAAGTGTTACAATGACATTCAAGCTCTAAGAACCTTCACTTTACGCACTTCAACCTCTTAAGATGGTGACTGACTGGTTCGGACAAGAAGAAAGCAGAGACTGCGGTCCTGTTATAGCATCATATTACATGTGTTATTTCAAATTCAAGGTGTGTATGGTGAAGGAGAAAGTGAAGAATAACAAAAGTGGAGGGAACTGACGTACAATACCGTTCAACTTCTTCGGTCGTTTGAGGTTTGGGACTTTGGGAGAGAGACTTCTAAATTTAGAAGTCCTTTTTAACTTGTGTAGCCGGTAAGTAGTCATGCAGTCTATTAAAGGAAAAAGACCCCATAAGTTCGGACCACCTAGAAATAATCAGTAATATGGATTATTAAAAGCGGATCAGGTATAGTTGGGATTATTAAATTCAATTTCCTTTAAAGTAAAAGTAGATAGTGTTTGTAAATGGAAGTGATTTTTATTAAAAGGTAAAAGTTGCAGTGTTTGATAAAAAAATGATTTTTTTAGTAGATTGTAGAAGTACAAATTTACCCTTACCAATTAAATAAATGCCTGAGGATCCGTTTCTTTCCTCAGCTTTCTTTCGTCGCAGCAAGCACCCTGTTCATGCAGAAAGTTCTAGAGCTTGGATGGATTTTCAAAATATCTTAAATCTGCCTCAGAGTGAAGTCTGAATTTTTCTGGTGCTGTCTTCTATGAGTAGCCGTGTTTGAACTATCGGTTGGGCAGTCATTTTTCTCCGATCGGCCTCAAATTTTGACTGTTGGTAAAATACACCTAGAGCTACATTCTGGACGGTGGTGATCAGATTCTGACGGTCGGATGTGGAGTTATAATCACCTGAGTAGACCGGTGTGTTTGGTGATTTTTGATATTTGGTATTGTTTACTTGGACAGATTTGGCTTCTCCCTAACATTTAGATGCTGGTGGGATTTCAATTTTCAACTGAAACATAACATAGAAAACATGAAATCAGTTGGTATAAGAAACACAAAAGTGAATCTTTTGATGGAACTGCAATAGAAATCAATATGAGTTAACTTGGGAAGTGGAAATCTTAGCATTCTTTGCAATATTCACAAAATCACAATTCAACTGCAATAACCAATACAACACCATATTACATCCTGTTAAACCATTCAATTGCAATAACTAATACAACACCATATTACATGTGACACTTCAAAATTCAAATAAACATTGTCATTCATAAAGCAAGAACATGGTTGTACATACTAGTGAAATATTCAACTGTCTTACATTCCAACCCCCAACACAAACATTTAAAACATGCCAAACATGTCACTTGTGATACATTACAATACAGAACAAAATCCATGACACAATGAGCCAAACAAAAGCAACTTTCTCTCCCTTGCATGCTTGGAGGCCAAAACCTGCAATGCTTTTATTTTAGCTCCCATCATTTTTTTTCCAGCTTAGCTATCTTCTCTTCCAAATCCTTTTTCTCCTTCAAAAGGTGCTAGATAAAATTCTCCTTATCACTTTTCTTCTCTTCAACAAGCATAGAAGGATTTTCCTCAACCCATTGGAAATAGGAACAATCAGCTTTCTGAAGAAAAAAAATTACATTTACAGTACTTCACAAAGTGCATTTCGCTAAAAAATTCAGAAATAATTTCATAAAATATTTCATAAAAAGATTCAGAAAAATTTCAGAAAAATCAACTTTTGGGCTTCGAAATTACAGTGTGATACAATATTTCACTCCTAAATTACAGAAGAAATTAGCAACTTACATGCCACAAAGCGCTCCCATAGAATCGTCGCCCAATATTAGGGCCAGACTTTACGGTTCTGGGCTTCGAAAAACATTATGGAAGCATTCAACTTCTCATGTACTGTTGCTTTCACCCTTTCTTGCCGAAGAAGACGAAGCTGCTGTCGAAACCATTCCCAATTGACCTGCGTACCTGTTGGCTATGGCGGATAAGAGAGGGATGGGAATTTTTTGACGAAGAAGCCTGCGTATTTGCCTTGTTGGGATGTCGTTTTATTAATATGTGACCCAGATGCATCTCACATGACTTTTAACCGGGTTACAAGGGATAACTTAGGCAACATCTGGTCATGGACTACTCATGTAAAAAGACCCCGTAACTTCGGACCACCTAGAAATAATCAGTAATTAGGATTATTAAAAGCGGACCGGATATAATTGAGATTATTGAATTGAATTTTTCCTTAGACTATGTTTGGCGGGCATAAGCCCCTGACTTCTAGCTTTTGTGTTGTTCAAAAAGTTCCTAAAAACTTCTAGTTGTGTGTTTGGCATGACAATATTTAAGAGCTTTTCAAAAATTAAAAGATCTTTTTTGAGATGCTACCGGGAGTAGCATCTAAGAAAAGCTAGTGACTTTTAGTATTAATTAACCCTAACAGCTTGTATACCAAATCGAACTAAATCAAACAGTCAGCTTTTTATCAAACAGCTACCACCTTTTATTTTTAAGATCTTTTCAGTTACAAAAAGCTAACAACTATTAAAAAGCTCACAAATGTATCTTTTCAGCTAGTTCTGCCAAACATGCCCTAAATCTAAAAGTGAAAAAGCACTTAATTAAGAATGGTACACACACTTTAACGGTGTATCCTTCCCATTCCCTCCGTCGAACTCAACAGAGAACCCTAGCTTAAACCTCCATAGTCAGTCACTCACCCGTCGCTTAACCCTTGTCAACGATGAATACATCATCAACAAATCTGCTAGAGGAAGCCCTCATCGGCGAAGTCATAGTTGCTGGTTCCTCAATGCGCGGCCGTGTGGTGGTGATTGGAGACTGCGTGGAGACCAACGGCGGATTCCTGCTCCACCACTTTATCAAACGCTCTCTGTCTCCTAACTCATCCAACGTCGTCGTTTTCCTTGCCTGGGCGCAGCCTTTTTCACACTACGATCGTATCCTCCGTAAAATGGTTGATGCTCTTTACTATGCTATGCTCAACTTGATTCATGTTTATCTGAAACCAAGCTTATTAAGTTTTTTGTATAATCGACTAATTACCATTTCGCGTCACAGGGTTGCAACTTAGGTGCATACAGGGATAGTAAAAGATTCATATTTCTGGACATGCTCATGATGGAGGTTCCAGGTGAATATGTCAAGGAAATTGGCTTCTTTTGTTAAACTTGAAAGCCTTGCTCGAGATATTTAGGTTCTTTTTATACTACGTAGTACCATTTATGCAAGTGTCAGTACTATTTATTATTATTACTATAATAATAATAATAATAATAATAATAATAATAATAATAATTATTATTATTATTATTGTATTGTTATTTTACTAACAGCACTACTGCTCTGGACTCGGGTTTTGCTAACAGCACCGGGGGCTTAGCTCACTTGGTAGGAAGATGTACCACAAGGGAGAGGTCCCGGATTCAATTCCAAGTAAGGACTTGAGATGAAATCAGGGCCGAACCTCTTGTTGAGGCAAAGAGGCAATTGCCTCGGGCCCCAAAATTTTACTAAAAAAATATGGGCCCATAAATAATTGTTTACTAGTATTATACTACGTATATACACAATTTTTGTATTTCATATTAAAATAGAAAGAATACAAATAATATCAATCAAAATAATATCAATCAAAATAATATCATGCACTATGTGTGTTTTAATTTTTTGATGTTGGCATATAAATTAAATTACTGCTTATGAATCTTAATATCCAAATTTTACATTACTCAAGGGCCTTTTACAAAAAACCGACTCGGGCCAAAAAAATGTTAGGATCGGCCCTGGATGAAATCCCGCTCTCTTTCCATCGGTGTATGACCAAAGCTCAATTAACACCCCCAGATAACTGTTCGTTTGGTTCTGGGGCTTCAGGGATCATGAGTCATCCTTTTTTTTGGGTTTTGCTTACAACAACCCTTAATTATGTTAACCCTTAATTAGAGAAACACATTCTCCATACTTTTCATAAGTGAAATATAACCATAAAATCATCAAAAACTATTCTTCATGTTTACCATGCCTAGTACCTAAAGATTTTAATAATTTAATGATTGAATGCTTGATGAAACTACTCAACTAGATAGAATATTATATTCTCTTTGATGTTTGAAGTATAGGTTTAAGGGACATGGTTGAGTACTTGAGTCTCACACCTACGGCATTACCTTTTCATACTTGGTTCAGTGTGTATTTTACATGTTTGCAGGAATTGCAGCTGTGCCATACCATATGTAAATTGAATCCCTTGTGTCTGTTCAATTAGGTAGAAAAAATTAAAGAAAATGACTTGTGAAAAAAGAAAACGTAGAAGTGTGCATGAAAAAGAAGTAGACTGGAAATCATTTTCCCTTCTGTTTTACAAAAATACTTGCAAGAATCTATAACTTCAAGTCCTTTTGCATATTCTATGCATTACAATCCACCATTCTTTCGTTTGAACATAATTCCATCCTTGCTTGATTGTATGTAAAAGGAGTCTCCTAATCTTTATTCCAATTGGAACACACAGCGGTTATTGTTCATCCATCCCCAACTACAATCTTTTTTTCAATTTCTTTCTATTGAAGTTGGACAAAAGGAACCCAAATGAGCTCTGTTGAAACTTTCAAGGCCTAAACTGTGTCATTTAAAAGAACCGCCATATAAGTTATAATAGTGGTTTCAGGATTTTTTTATTGGAATTTGGCATTAAAAAATTGTTGCGGAAATTTATTATTCATCACTGTAAGTCATCTTTAATTTGGTTAGACAGATGGAGGGGAAACTGTAGAAAATGGACTACTTGCTATATATGGAAAACTTCAGAAAGCAGTGGAAACTTCTTATATGCCAGAAGGCTCGCGAAACATAACAGTTATGATTGATGATGTATCTCAGATTGAAGTGGCTGTGAATGGATCGTCAAATCACGTATCAGATTTTCTGCATTATTGCTACACCTTGACAACAGAATATGTAAGTAACATTCATTAATTTACACCTTGTTTATTCTCAATCTGACACTTTGTAGCGATGCCAATGTTTAGTTTTTTGTTGATGCAGGGCTGTTCACTCGTGACCCTTAATCACGAGGACATCTATCTTAGCATGGATAAGCCGGTATTGTTTTTGCAAATGGAACATGTTGCTGATGTGGTGATAAAAACAGAACCTCTGACTACTGGTTTGGCAAGTGATGTGCATGGACAGGTAGCTACCTTTTCAATTCTTTTCCATAGTGAGGTGTGGTAGTTTGCCTGTTTTTGTGTGAATCTTCCCCTGTATGCTAAAACAAAGAGTGTATTGCACTCCACCCCAAACAAAAAACTGTTTCATTAACTTTTTTTGTGTCTCAAAAAATAAAATAAAAAACTAATTTTTCAATACTAAGGTCTGTTATATAGGCATTACAATAGTACCTATTATAATAGGAAACATAAAGGTAATAATAAGCTGACTAAAACAGAAAGCTGCCAATCTGCTAGATTCTTGTTCCCTTGGTTGCATGGTCTTATTTGCTTCATCATTGATGCATTTTTTTAATAGAATGGGTCGTCGATAACATAATATTAGAATGAGAATTTTAAGTAGAGTAAAATCTTAAAAGATGCAAAATAATCCCTAAAAGGCACAACTCATCCTAAAAATAGATAATGATTTTTTTAAAGAATACAGTTGCCAAGGTACATGAGAAGCTTATTTCTTCGTAAGACACATATCTGAAACATTCCTTTATTTACAAAATTGCGTCCAAATTATGTCTTTCTACTGGAATGAAACTGATGCACTTTCAATAAGAAGCCATGTCTGAGATTAGGAAACATTTCTTCATCCTGATTCCTGAACGTTCCAAGCATAACTGTGTAGGAGGCCTTGTAGAAGTCTCGGGATCTATTATCTAATTAGAATTGTACTTGATAAATAGTGTTGTACTCTGATTCTTTATTTCGTCAACTTATATTCTTTCTTGTATTTTATTCTGATTGTTATTTTCTGCAGATGACAGTTATAAATAGAGGAGTTGGTAGTTACGGGTCAAGAAGCGCTAGGGCGAAGGTCCATAATTTCCACTTCCAAGTGAAGGAAAGTAGTGTAGAGTACTTTTATCCTGGGACTCGGAATTGAGGAGTAGCAAATTTATCCAATTGTGTTTCAGCCTGGAATGTGCTGCTCTGGGTACTGCATGTGAAGAAGAAAAACAATAGACATCTTTTTATTGTCATTCAAATAAACTTGACCATCCATCTCTTGGCTTTCCAGTTAAGATAGCTTTTAGTGATTGTATAGTGTGTTTATAGTCATCAGGGAAATCCATGCCCTACAAATCACTCAAACCTTGGGCAAGCAATTGAAATTGACCGTAAAGTAGACTCCCATAATGCGCATAAATTTATTTCGGAAATTGTCCTAAATAAGACTAATGAGTTCATAAAAAGCACAAATAGGACTACTACTTTTTAAATTCTCTAAATAGGACTAAACAACCACTAGTGAAAAAAATAAATGTTTGATCCTTAGCTTCTAAATCATTCTTACTTTATTCTAAATTTATTATTCACTATCAACCACATTAACTCCTTTTTTCTTAATAATAACACCACCTCCTCTTATATTAAGTTATCATGATCATTTAAGTTTAAAAGTTCAATATAAGTTATTGTGATTAAATTACTGCTGTAATTTAATCAGTAGTGATTAAATCACTACTCACATTTTTGTAAACAATCTTTATTTTAGTCATAAATATGTAATTTATTCATTAATTTTTAATAAATCAAATTCAAAAGTATACATTTTGTATTTCTTAATCCAATACGGATGAGTTTGTTTTAAAAAATTCCAATGCAGATAGGTTAAGAAAAATAAAAAATAATTACTTTGTATGCTATTTAAACCATTTTGGTTAAATGATAATGAGTATTTTTGGAATAAAGTTCACTCTCACCAAGGAATGTAAGATAACCTAAGAGTTGAGTGGGTTTGAGATGAAGGGACATCCTATTACTTTCTCTTCTTTTTTGGAATGTGACATTCCCCCATAAAAATAAACCTACGAACCAAACACAGATATTTCAGATTCCGGACATGAGATTCCGGCCTGCATAGGTGATTACCTTGAACCAAACATACCCTAAGAGTATTAATTCATAATGAAATGCTTTAATTCATAATAAAATCATAAAAAAACGTAAAAAATATTTAAAAAAAACGTGAAAAAATCATAAAAAATTTATAAAACATTTATAAAATAATTTTTTTTTTATTTTTTTTTTAATTTTTTTTAAAAAAAATAAAAAATAGTAAAGACCCATAAAAAATGAAAAAAATTATGGATACCTTTCCCACTGCCTCCCGCCGCCTCCCAGCACCACCACCTCCAATTGGTGAAATTTCTTCCACTTTTGGTAAAAAATGTCATCTTTTTCTGAAAATGCCAAAAAGATGGCATAATTACTCTTCAATATGCCAACATTTTCATTGAATATGCCATCATTATGGCATTATTTAAAATGTTGGCATATTTTTCTCCGGTGATGGGAGCTGGTGGTGCTGGGGGTGGCAGGGGTGGTAATGTTTTTTTTTTAATTTTACGGTTTTTTTTTTTAAATTTTTTTTTTGTTTTTAAAAAAAAACATTTTTACTACCTCCGTTTTTTTTAATCTTCACAGTTTGACTTCACACAAAATAAGGAAAGAAATTTGACTTTACTGTAGAGTACACTGTTGAGGCACTGTAGAGACTGTTTGGCATTGTTTGGCACTGTTTTGATGTAGATTTCTTTGCCAAAAAAGGAAATAAGGAAGTGTGAAGTTTATTTAAGACCGTCCCAAAAAGGAAAGTGTGAAGTTTATTAAAAACCAGAGGGAGTATTAATTTTCTATCAATTTTTTTATGATTTTTGGTACTTTTTATGATTTTATTATTAATTAAAACATTTCACAAGTTACAAGGGTATATTTGTCTAAACACACATAAATAGTCCTATTAAGGGAATTTAAAAAATGTAGTCCTATTTGTGCAAATTTGCCACTTTTTAGTCCTATTTAGGGAATTCACTCAATTTATTTTGAGGAATAAAGCTGGAAAACTCAGATTAGGGACTCATCTATTCATATGTTTTCGTTCTTATATTGAATATATCTAAATTTCGTCAATTTGCAGTCTGAGGCTCTGTTTGCAAACACAACTAAAAAAGCACTTCCCAGCTTTTGGCTTAAAAAAGCTAAAAAAGATGTTTTCAAATGACAACTTCTACTTAAATGAATCACTTAAAAGCTAAAAGCTAGAATCTGCTTTTCACTTTTTCTATTAGACAAAAAGCACTTATTTTACCAAACACCACCAACTTTTACTTTTCAAAATCACTTTTTTCTCAAACACTACCAACTTTTACTATTAATCACTTTTTTACCAAATCATTTAAAAAAGTTAAAAGCACTTCTCAGTTGGGTTTGCAAACAGAGCCTGAGTGTCACTTCTTTAAAAAATTGAGCAATAATTTGTGTGATTGATATTCTTTTTACATCAATGACAGTCATATAATTTTTTTGAATGATTTTTTTTATAAGGGTACTAAATCAAATTGTTTAAGAAATACTAGTATTTGTATTTAAAGTTTAAACTTATGGACTATGAGATGTTTAATGATATATACACTCCCTAATTCGCTGCGTGTGTGTGCAACTGCATTTGTTTCTCCTATCTCTTAATTACTTTTGTATTATATTGTCATTAATTCTTAAAAGCTTATAATTGTGAATCAAGGTTACTCTTTTGGGTATTAAAAAAATGTTGGTGTAATACTCCTGATAAATGTATTTGTACATCAAGCTTTGAACTTTGAACAGTTAATAAATAACCTTCCTGTACAACTATCCAGAGCCGTGCGGTGCTTGAGGCAGATGAGGCACTTGCCTCAGGGTCCAAAAAATTGTTAAAATTTTAGGGTCCACAATTTTAGATATTTCTTTAGTAAACATGTGTATTAAATTTACATATTGAGCTTCCTTTGTCTAACCATTGTCCGTTGTTGAACTTCAAAAAGGAAAACCCAAAAAGTCCCCTAATTACCTTTGTTCGGCCAGTTTAGAAGCGGAATAGCCATCAGTGGAAAAGGGTTTTAAGGCGATTTGCGATTCTTTTGTTCTGACCTAGACTAATCAATCAACAACAGGGCCTTAAGGTTAATTTGCGACTCCCTTGTTCCAATCTATAGACTTAATTGACATCAACATCAAGGTTAATCTTTCATCTTCTATGCTTAGCTTCTAAATTTCTAATATTCTTCTATTTAAAGCCATAAAAGGATTTATAGCCTACCGAATATCTGTTGATAAGGAATTTATTGAACATCTAGAATGCCGAGTTAATTAATACTTTTGCAGCTAAAACTCTCCGGCGAGTTGTACTTAATTAGTCATTTGAATACTTTGACATTAATCTAATTTTCATTTAATTAGTCGTTTTTATGATGTTTAATTAGTCATTTAAAAAAAATGTTGTATAAGGCCTTTTATGAAGTTCGACTCAGGCCCGAGTTTTGATAGGATCGGCACTGCAACTATCTTTCCCGTTACTCCCGTTAACTCCCTTATCAATTTGCATACCCACGTATTCTACACCCAAGTTTCTAGGTTTACATACCACCAGCGCTAAGCCGTCTCTGCCGGCGCTTTACAGCCATGTCAATCCGGCAGCTCCTAAGTCTCTCCCACGGGTCCCAGTGGCACGTTTCTTCCCAATTAGTCACACCACTGTCCTCGGTCGCCGTTTCTGTCGCTGCAGACACCGCTCAGTCCATCACACTAGAGGTGGATTCGGGCCGAGACTAGGCACGGGCGGGCCGCCGGTTCTGAATAGTTGGGCCCGGGTAGCTACCAGGCCCGGTCCGGGCCGGGCCTCGGGCCTCTTTATATATATATATATATATATATATATATATATATATATATATATATAGAGAGAGAGAGAGAGAGAGAGAGAGAGAGAGAGAGAGAGAGAGAGAGAGAGAGAGAGAGAGAGAGAGAGAGAGAGAGAGAGAGAGAGAGAGAGAGAGAGAGAGAGAGAGAGAGAGAGAGAGAGAGAGAGAGAGAGAGAGAGAGGAAACTTCATGTCAGGCCGGCCTGACGGGCTGCCCCGTCCGGCCTAGCCCGTTTGGACACCTTCCTGGTGGAATTTTTTGATGAAACTTTTTGAGCATGTTCCTCATCAAGTCTAGTTTGTCCATACCAAATTTCAGCTCTAAATACGATCGGGAAGGCATTCAAATCATTTTTTGAAGTTGACTGCATTTTTATATGTATATTTTGACGCAGTCAACTTCAAAAAATGATTTGAATGCCTTCCAGATTGAATTTTGAGCTGCAATTTGGTATGGACAAACTAGACTTGATGAGGAACATTCTCAATATATATATATATATATATATATATAGAGGAATGTTCAGGTCCGAACATTCCCCGTCCGAGCACCGTCTGAACATGGACGTTTGGGCCACTTCCCGGTAGAATTTTTTGATGAAACTTTTTGAGCATGTTCCTCATCAAGTCTAGTTTGTTCATACCAAATTTCAGCTCAAAATTCGATCGGGAAGGCATTTTAAATCATTTTATTAAGTTGACTGCGTCAAAATATACATATAAAAACGCAGTCAACTTCAAAAAATGGTTTGAATACCTTCCCGATCGAATTTTGAGCTGAACTTTGGTATGGACAAACTAGACTTGATGAGGAACATGCTCAAAAAATTTCATAAAAAAAATTCCACCGGGAAGGACCCCAACCGAGGATGTTCGGACGGAGGGTTCTGTGCCGAACGTTCGGACCTGATCTTTTTCCTATATATATATATATAATATATATATATATATATATATATAATATATATATATATATATATATATATATATATATATATATATATATATATATATATATATACGGAAAAGATCCTGTCCAGCCGGAGGGACAGGATCCTCCGTCCGGACCGCCGCCGTTTGGGGGCGGTTCCCGGTGGAGTTTTTTGATGAAATTTTTATTGAATGTTCCTCATCAAGTCTAGTTTATCCACAAAAAATTTCAGCTAAAAATTTCGATCGGGAAGGCAGTCAAATAATTTTTTGAAACATAACTGCGTTTTATATGTTTAAGTTGGAGCAGTTATCTTCAAAAATTTATTTGACTGCCTTCCCGATCGAATTTTTAGCTGAAATTTTTTGTGGGTAAACTAGACTTGATGAGGAACATTCCATAAAAATTTCATCAAAAAAACTCCACCGGGGAACCAGCCCCAAAACGGTGGGCGGCCGGACGGAAGATCCTGTCCCTCCGGCTGGACAGGGATCATTCCTCTATATATATATATATACTATATATATATATATATA